TGCGGGGTTCCCGAGCGGAATGTGAGTTGCTGTTCCTGCAACCTTCAAAACCCCCTTCCCCTCCCCCTTTTCTGATGAAGGGTCTAGGCCCGAAACGTCAGCCTCTCTGCTCCTATGATGCTGCTTGGCCTGCTGTGTTCATCCAGCCCTGCACCTGGTTGTCTCTTAAAAGGAGTACAGATGGGAGCAGAATGTTGCTGTGGGGCTCCTGTTTCAGAGAGGGACAAAGGGTTAAATGATCTCTTTCAGTGCTATGGGTGGAAACTTGCACATAGCCAAAAAAAAACGTTTTAAGCTTTAGCCGTATGGATTTGTATGAAGTTTCTAGGATGAAAAAGAGTGAGTTGTTTGATGGAAGAGTAGGTGCAGTTCGAGTTAGATGAGAGTATTGCATTGCTGAGGGTGATTGCACCGTAGGTACAGTAAGTAAGGTGCAGTTAGTGGTGGAAAGCATGACCAGACAAGTAGATACCGAGAAAGAGCATGGTGTAATGTGCAGGTGAGCAAACACGCAATTACTACTGATAGGATCATCAGATAGGAGATCATGAATTATTTAGGGCCTTTTCTGTCGGAGTGTGAAACATTTGGGAAAGGACAAAAATGGAGGAATAGAGGTTATAAATCTGCTAGTGTGATTGAATTGCAGGAATTGAAGTGCTGAACTTGATTTGAGGAAATTAGAGGAATTGACATTGGAAGAACATTTCAAGTATGTTGCAGGAGTTGAGGTCTAGACAAGTTGGATGCTGCTCTGAGAGATTCAACATGATAGGAAAGAGGTGCACGAGATGGAATACAGAAGGAAGCTTAGTTACCTAAACATGACAGAAAATTTAAGTGGAAGGCTGACTTTGAAGAGTGGAACAGAAGGAAAATGGCCTGAAAAGATAACATTGAGAGTCAAGCCACAGCAGTGTAATGAAGACCAATTGAAGTCAAGTGGGAAAAACTGGTGAGGTTCGTTAGGCAGCTGTAAGATGAAGTCTGCATGCAATCCAGGAGTTACTGACAGAAGCAGGGATCAACCAGCCAGCACATTAAGCCGAGCTGTGCATAGTTCTGAGCAATTGTTCCTGTTACGGTCATTGTTGATACATGAAGGAACAGTGTTTAGAATCAAAGTAAAATTTAGTGTGTCTTTGAAAATTATGAAATGTAGTCTATTTTTCAAGTAACAATAACTTGCGATGCTGGTCCTTATCTCTGCGAATTGGATTTGGATTCCATTTTCATTTAGGGAAAGGTTCACAATGGTGTTTAGAAAATACATTGCTTGAGGAATATGTTGTGATTATTTTAACAGCTTGAAAAGTGGAAATTGCAATTCTTTATTATGCTAAACAGTATCTCATCTTGATTTTTACAACCATTAAAAGCCTTGTCTGACATTTACTTACTCGCAAACCAAATTTTCTCAAGTCAGTCTCCAAACAATATACCAGTCTTTTTCTGAAGATTGCACTTTGAATAAATGAGGATGGTCAACTTCAAGTTCAATCATTGTATAACATAATCATGGTGTGGAACTGAAATATTTATTTGGGAAAGCTGTGTTTTTTTCATGTCTTGGGCATACATATTTATTCATGGGCTGTGGGGAATTTGAAGAGGAGGCAATGGCTGAATGGTATTATTGCTGGACTATTAATCCAGAGACTCAGGCAACTTTCTGGGGACCTGGGTTCAAATCCCACCATGGCAGATGGTGGAATTTGAAATCAATAAAAAAATCTGGAATTAAGGGTCTGATGATCATGAAACTTGTTGATTGCTGGGGAGAAACCCATCTGATTTACTGATGTCCTTTAGGGAAGGAAACTGTTGTTCTTCCCTGGCCTGGCCTACATGTGACTCCAGACCCACAGCAATGTGTTTCACTCTTAACTGCCCTCTGGGCAATTAGGGATGGGCAATAAATGCTGCCTTTCTGTGAATGAATTTTAAAAAAGTGCATCGTTGATTGGGTCAGCATTTAATCCCCATGGCCTAGTGGGCTATTGAGTCAATCACATTGCTGTGGGTCAGGAGTCACATATAGGCCAGACCAGATAAGGATGGTAGATTTTCTTCCCTAAAGGATACAATGAACCGGATGGGTTTTTACAAATCTTGGCAGTGATTATACGGATTTCCTTACGCTATTGACGGATTCGAACTCTATAAAATTTCGAGTTTTCTTTCAGCAGTAGATTGACTAATGATCTTATAACATTAAAAGGGCAAAAGCAATCATGACATTTAGCAATGTACTAGATGACTTTCTAAAACTAAACATTTTGTTTTTAACAGCTGGAAAAAGTTGCAGATTCGCCAAATCACGTTTTCCCTGTTAATGGAGGATTTCATGCTTTGAAAGGAATAATTGATTTGGTAAGCATTATTGCTTTCATAATGTTCGTGCAGTGACTAATAATAATCTTATTTATGTATCTTGATTCTAAGAGTGGAAGCATATTTGAAATGCAATATGTTACATGTCGTTTATTTATGACAATGTACAGCAATCTTATTATCATTGTTATTATGGAAAAAATGACCACTTTCAAAGTGCTGTAAATACATAGACATAACTATTTTTGTAGTCTGTATCTTACAGTGAAAGCAAGATCAGTAGATACGTATAGATTTTACAACAATGACTAATAGTGCTTGAGTTCATGTTTGGTGAAGAATGGTCTTTGCTATACTTGGTTTGAAGCTGACAAATGAGAGCGAATTTAAGATGAAGTCATTACATAGTAAATGGAAGATACTTTGTGGAGAACTGACCTCAGCAGTGGTCTGTAAGTTGTAGGTTGTAGGGCAATGAACATTTTGAATTTGGGGACATTCAATTGACAACAAAGGAGCAGCAAATTGCGAAATGGCAAGTGCTGACAAAATACAATGTGATAATGGCCTTATCTGATGAACCCTTTTCTGATGAAGGGTCTAGGCCCGAAACGTCAGCCTCTCTGCTCCAATGATGCTGCTTGGCCTGCTGTGTTCATCCAGCCCTGCACCTTGTTGTCTCGGATTCACCAGCATCTGCAGTTCCTACTGTCTCTGATAATGTCCTGGTCATTTCTTTTAGTACTGTCTGTTTGAGGGATAAATATTGGCCAGGACACTGTGGAGAGTTTCTCCACTCTTCTGGAAGTTGTGCCACAGAAAATATTACAACTACCTGACAGGGCTGTTAAGATGTTAACTTAATGATCTCAGCTGACAGATCGATTTGAGACAAAAGCAGAAAGCAGAAATGTCTCTGGCGTTGCTGCCTTGAAAGTACAGGATCCAAACAGGTGACTTCCTTATACTCTGCCTTTGTTTTCAGTTCTAGAGAGGAAAAGACAAGATGTGTGTGTGCCCAACTTTTAATCTGCAATGGCAATGAAAAATGGTTCATCATAAACAATATGTTGATTAAGATTTGGTTTTACAAGCTTGAGATAATAGAGTTGGCTCTTTTTGTTGGTTTGACATCAGCTGAGTGAAAGACAGAGGAAACTTTGGGTGAATTTTATGTTGTTTGACTGGGTGTAGGAGAGTGGCCTGGATGTATGCTGCTGGCCAGCTCCCACCACCACCTTTTGTACCTGTTGAACAAAGCGAGTTGCAGCCTGTTTGTGGCTTTTGAGCAGGAAGCCAGTCAATGATAGCTGTGTAGGTATCTTGCTTTGTGAACAGCAATGCTTTGCTTGCTCTCCTTCCAAGCTCGCAGTTACAGTCGGGAACTGTTTCTGAGACCTGTTTTTTTAAAAATGCCACACTGTAATAAGCTCCTGTGACCTGAGTTAGTATAATAGGTAATGTGCTGAATATTTTGCTGCAGCCACATTCACATTGTGGGCAGAGAGGTGAGAAGCCAGTTGTAAGTAAAACCTTGAGGTGAGGTTTCTGAGAATCATCACTGCAGCAGATGACGTCACACAGCAACGGGGTCATGGCTACAAGTGTGGCATCTCCCTGCTGTCTCACGTTCTAACTATTTTGAAGGCAGGAAAAGTACTAAAAGAATGTTATTAGAGATTGTACAGACACCACCACACTGTAGAATAAAATCTGCAAGTACATTCAAACAACAGTCCCAGCAACAGGTTTTGTCTGTCGCTGTTGTTTCACTTCATTATAGCTGCTGTAAAAGATTCCCATCTATTTTAGACCTGATGCGTGAGATATTCAGAGTTGCTTGCTATGCAGTTTTTGAAAAATGTCAATTTCAGTTTGTGTAATATCAGAAACCAGCGTGATGACATCAGGGTTGGTGACCTGATATTGTCGCACTGGACTTTACATGGGAAGCGGACAGTGTGCCCATTTCGTGGCCATAAAATTTACTTTATTATATTTGCAGTTGGAATGATATGGGCAGAAGTTTTCTTGTGAGGAAAGCTAAATTCTCTAAAACTGTGGAGTTTTTATTTTTAGGATGCAGTGAACCATATGTCCTATGTTTGCATGCCTACAGATAACATTAAATTTAATGGTAATCAATTTGGTTTAATCGGTTCATCAGTTAATGCGCTGTGGTGTTGCAGGCACATAGTAAAGATCAAATGCAATATTCAGTTGAAGTAGAATTTGATGACAGAAGAATGCTTGAATTAAAATCGTAAGACACAGGAGCAGAAGTAGGCCATTCAGCCCATCAAGTTCACTCCACCATTCAATGAGATCATTGCTGAATTAGATGAAGGAGTCAGGGGTAGTGTGATTAATGCGGGATGGAACAAGGAACAGTGATGGAGGAGAGGAAGGGGGAGAATGCAGGAGGATAGATTGTGGGCAAAAGGTTCTGTCTTGTGATGACATTAGGATTGGATTTTCAATTCATCCTCAATTTAATGTTCCCAGAGGTGACTGCAATTTGTTGTCGGTGGTAAGGTGGGGATGGAAATGTGCTAGCTCATTTGCCATTTTTGGTTATTTGGACCAACATTGGCCTATCACACACCCTATTCCAGCTATTTAACACACTGTGTTCCTTTACTAATGATGATACTGCATTACATCTGGAACTTCTGCTGCACACCCAGTTATATCTTCCGATTCTCTCTTGCCCACTGGGCGAGCCACGAAAAGAAAAACATTGACTAAATCAGGGCAGGCAGACAAACATGTGGTAACAGTCCCAGTGATAGAAAATGGGGTAAGAGAAGAAATTGTTAAGTCTGGCCACTAGAAAGAACCACAGGTAGAGTCACAAAGGGACACGTATTGAAAACAACAAAATGAGAGTCACCCAGAGCAATCCACCAGAAACAGATAAAATGCACAAATGCAGAGCGAGACCATGAACCACGAAACAACGTTTGCATATAATTGCACCTAACTTTAAATTAAGCATTTCCATGGGCATTTACTGGTATAATACAATTTAGTGTGCTGGTTAAATAATCTAGTTTAATTTAAATGTATATGACTTTGACAGAGGACAAATTTGGAATCATACAAAATACAGTTATTACACACTGGCTTCCAGTGTGAAATGTTGTAAACAGGAACAGAATGGATAAAACCTGGAAAAGAAACAACTTATGTGCAGACTTTTCCAACATACAATATGGTCAGATAATCCCATTGCATTTTTGTTTTTTACAGAGTAGGATACAGATTAAATATAAGGAGGTAATTTTAATCTCCCAGAAAGAGGCAGCTTTGGCCTAGATGGAATGTTAAACTTTGAAATATTCTATAAGGTTGTCTGAGATTGAGAAACCTGACAGGTGAAAGAAACCATTAGATTACCCCTTTCAGCATTGCTTGTGAGGTGGAAAGAGAAAGGAAATGTGACTTGAAGAAATTAGCCATTTCTGAAGAAGGGTCTAGGCCCGAAACGTCGGCCTTCTTGCTCCTCTGATGCTGCTTGGCCTGCTGTGTTCATCCAGTTCTACACCTTGCTATCTCAGATTCTCCAGCATCTGCAGTTCCTACTATCTCTGAAGGAAATGTGACTGTCAACCAAACAAGCTACCCCAGAAACCAACCTTATCACCACCAACCATACTGCCACTTCTGCATTTTACTTCAGCAATATATTTTTCCTTATTTTTGTTAGTGATCTTTTGAAAGATCAAATTCCTTATGCCCACTTAAAACAGATATATTTCTGTTTCTTTATTGTCGCTTTGGTTAATATCCTGTTTGACCCCATGCTTTTTGGATTTCCATCACTTTGCAAAAAACCCTCCAGTGACCATGATTGACCCTGTTGTGACCACCATGCCATGTCCCTGACCATGCTGTACCCTGTGATCTCCATCTCCCCACTCTCACAGCCCCCTCACCCACCCTCTTGCTGCTTGATCTGTCTGCTCCTATGTTGTGTTCTGCAGCAATAGGCTTTCCCAAATGACAGACATTGCAGATATACCAATCCCGGGCTGGAAACCTTGAGAAGAATTTAAAGCTCAACCCCGTCCTTCTAGGATTATCAGCCATATTTCTACCATTTTCCACTCTCCGAGTGCTCAGTAGGTATTGGGATTAGACTTGATTCCCAGATGTTACTCTTGCTGAGGGAACCATGCATGATATGTGTGGATTTAAGAATTAGGCAAATGGCTTTTGGCATTTTCCAAGCTTTTGTTGTGTAAGGATCACTATGTAATGGCCAAACAAATTGGAAGAAACCGACCCCACAACCATCTGCCTGTGTTTTCTTATCCATGAAGTCTACATCCATCATCCTTTGTAAAGCTTGGGTTTGATGGTAGCTATTCAGTTCACTGGAGTGTGTCCATTCTCGGTTATGCAGAAGAGTCGACCACAGTTATCAAGTCCTCTTTTGCTCTGGGCATGATGCTGAGGGACTAGAAATTGCACTTTTCCCTCTCCCAACCAAAGAAAAGGTTCGAAGAATGAAAAGCAGAGATTTGGTAGAGGAGATTTGGTAGAGTGTTGAAAGTCATGGAGGATTAGATAAGTCGAAAAAAAATGTTTTCATTAGATGAAGAACCAATAACCAGATAGTACAGATTTATGGGGAATGGCAAAAAAAATGAGAAAAAAGCTTTATAGGTTGAATTCTACAGCACCGCCTGTCGATGTATTGATGTTGTGGAGCTTGTAAAATAAAGCAGATGGCTAACCTATCACCTCCCAAACCTGTCCTCCATTTTACAGGAGGGTAAAGTATCAGGCAGCCATCCTGGCCTTAGGCCTGTTGAGCTCCGTAAGTGGACAATGAATAGCTGCTTAAAGGCCTCATTTCCCCTCTGCCCGCACCTCCCCCGCCAAAATAAAAGTTATGATCTGTATGGGGAAGGTGGGCTGAAGGCAAGCAGCCTGGAAACTGTCATTGTGTGAGCTGCTGCTGCATGGGAGGTAAATCCTTCTGTAGGAGACACTGCGGTAGTGGGGGTGGAGCCCCCTATATCCATCAGATT